ATGCAGAAGGCAGGCCAGCGGATCTGCCTGTGTGTTTTCTGCATGCGGCAGGACCCCGTAATGCATTCTATGAGGAACAGCTGTTCCCTGCATGCAACATCCCAACTGCATGCAGAAAATACTTTCTGGACTGAGGGGGCTGAGTTTCCCCAACCCCCCAAATTAATAAAAGATTTGTACCAATAGAATGAAGGTTTTGTCTGTGTTTTCCCCCTCTACTTTCTTTCATATTTGAAAACTATGTTCACATATGCAAAAATATTTATTGAGCACTTTTACTTGTGTGCTGTGTACTGTTACAGTTCTCATTTATTAATGCCATTTAGATACTGTTTGATGAAAGCCACAAACATTTATCTGCAGCCAAATTTTCATGGCCCCATTGCCAGATTTTTACAGACTCATGCTGTCTTTCCTGTTCTCCATCCAAACACTTTTTTTTGTTGTTTTACAATTGATTTTAAAACTTTCCCAATTTTTTAATGCCAAAAGAACTCATTTCCCCCCTTTTTAAAAAAAGGATCCTGGATTTTTCAGTTTTTGGAGGGGTTTTTTGTTTTTTTTGAGAACAGATCATGCCTTTCTAGATCCAGTTATTTGAGTTATTTTATTCAGTTCTACGGGACGCGGGTGGCGTTGTGGGTAAAAGCCTCAGCACCTAGGACTTGCCGATCGAAAGGTCGGCGGTTCGAATCCCCGCGGCGGGGTGCGCTCCCGTTGCTCGGTCCCAGCGCCTGCCAACCTAGCAGTTTGAAAGCACCCCTGGGTGCAAGTAGATAAATAGGGACCGCTTACTAGCGGGAAGGTAAACGGCGTTCCGTGTGCTGCGCTGGCTCGCCAGATGCAGCTTGTCACGCTGGCCACGTGACCCGGAAGTGTCTGTGGACAGCGCTGGCTCCCGGCCTCTAGAGTGAGATGAGCGCACAACCCTAGAGTCTGTCAAGACTGGCCCGTACGGGCAGGGGTACCTTTACCTTTATTCAGTTCTACAGGCATTTAGTTAAATAATGCCTGCTAAATTGTACAACATTCTTTACTGAAATGGATTAGCCTGCAGCAACTGGGGTGTCTCTAAGAAGATCAAGGAATGGATCTATGATAAACATTATTTTTTTAAAAGAAAAGAAAGAAAACTAGGAACCCTCCAGTTTAGATTGGCTAAATTTAGATTGATTCCTAATTGGCTAAGGGAACTAGATCTTTCAAGACTGAGATTGCTATGTAGAGATGAATTGCTAGACAAATGATTAATTCTAGCTTGAGCGCAAAATATAGTTGCCTAATTCTGTATCATTTTTGTGAGCTATATTTGTAGCACCATAGGACTTTAGCCTGTCTGCAATCAGTAATCACACAGCATGCAAATGGCAAGAAGGCAACAGATTAACAGGCAGATTATGGCTCACATTAATTTAATTGTGTATTAAATGTTTGAAAAAGGAAGGCAGCCTCCAGGTGCAAAAGAAAATTAGTGAGGTGTCTAAATTATCATTATTGGGCACAATATATTTCTAACAGTTGTTCTTTCTCAGGGACACTCTTTAGCATCAAATTCTAACTCTCTCTGCTCACTGCTTTACAAGTTAGGATGCTTACAGATCAGATTTCATTGTGGAATCAGTGCTGCTCAGGTAGAAAAGTTCTTTTGCAGTGTCTATGTAATGTTGTTATCATCAGAATGTCAGGCCATTCTCCGTGTGTGTGTGTGTGTGTGTGTGTGTGTGTGTGTGTATTTAATCTGGATTCCCCGTTACTGCACAAAATCCAATAAGTGGGGTGAGGGATAACCTCTTATACATCTGCAGTCATTGCTGGTATGGAAGCTTGCATTTAAAGAAAAATGGGTTGGTTAATAGCAGATTTAATAGCTTGGAAGCTGGATCTAGCCTGCCCCTCCATCACCTGTTGTCTCATTAAAACATCACTAGCATTGCTTTAAAAAGGTAAATAAAACACACAGGGTACTTGTTGGATTTTTAAAAAAATAATTATTTACAGGTTGTTTTTTTTTCATATTTGCAAGAATGGCTTTAGAGCAGCTTTTCTCAACCTGTGGGTCCCCAGATGTTGTTGAACTACAAATCCCATCACCCCTAGCTAGCAAAGCCAGAACTCAGGAATGATGGGAGTTGTAGTCCAACAACATCTGGGGACCCACAGGTTGAGAACCGCTGCTTTAGAGTCCAAGCCCACATGGTGAAAGCTGGTTTCACGGCTGCCTCTTGCAGGAGGGAAGGAGGGAGAAAGAGGATAGAGGGTAGATCAGGGTTTCCCAAACTGGGGTCTCCAGCTGTTTGGGGACTACATTTCCCATAATTCCTGACAACTGGTCATGCTAGCTAGGGATGAAGGGAGTTGTAGTCCAACAACAGCTGGAGACCCAAGTTTGGGACACCTGGGATAGAGCTTGGGGTTTGGTAAGAAAAACCTCCAGCCCTCTGCTGGCTGGAGGCATGCAATGCATGTGTGGTGATGACTTTTCAGTAGCTAGCCTCAATTGCAGGGGTAGGAACCTTTGGCTCAATGGCCTAAGTAGGCCTGCCAGAGTTACATCTGAGCCCACAATGCTGTTTCCTTCTAACCCCACCCACCTGCACCACACATGTGACAGCAGGTGTCGGAGAGATAGAGACCTGGTTAAAGTGTGATAGTAGGCTGGCTGACAGTGCTGACCAGCTGGCAGGCACTGACATCAAGCCTGCTGGGTTCAACTCGGCTATGAAGTTCCCCATCAGTTCCTCCATCTGAAACATTGCAGCACAACTGATCCCTGCCAAAAGCAGGGCTTGAAATATGCACCAGTTGCACGCTGCAGGGTCCTCAAGCTCAACCTGAATCAACACACATCTTTTGTCTGCAGCATGACTTGAACTCAGGCCACCCTACAAAGTAAACATGCCTCACCTGGCATCAGATGATTGACAGGTGGGTGGACGGCCTGCCAGGTGGTAGGAGAACTCAGAATCGGTCCTGCCAGTAATATGTAATAATATGTAATATGTTTATGTGTATTGTGGGGGTGCTAAGGGGGCGCTGTCCCCCGTTTTGTGCCTGCCCAACTCTATTATTCTTGCTGTAATCCCCCCTCCCCCTCTCTTCTTTTCAGACTCAGACTCTCCCTATTATTTGGCCCCTCCAGACGACCTGCTTATTGAACATTCATTCTGATTTGCTTGCACAAAGCTTACACAGACATTAGATTATATCCGGCCATTACTGAGCTGTTAGATGACTGTGAGCATTTGTTCTGCATTCTTCCTGATTGGCTTACGGGGTGTTTAGATGGCTTCTCATTAGTCATCTGTCCATTCCAGACTTGTCAATGCATTTCCCTGGCACTTTCCAAACTGCTGCAAAAACTCCAGATGCTTTTAAAAAAAAAAGTGGATTTGTTGTGCTAATGTGACAGAATCCACTTTCACTCCACCCACTGAGAGTTCACTTACGTGACACCTTTCCTTGGGTCTTCTCAGCACAACCTGAGATAAGAAAATGTCATTTGAAACACCATAACCCTGTTCTTCTTCTTCTCTTCTGACAGCCTTCAGTTGCTTTAGCCTCTCTGGTGTTCACATCAGTTTGAGCACACTATGTCAACTGTCTCTTTGGAAATGGGATGAATTAGGTTTATTTTCTCTTTTGTATGTTCTTCTATATCTCCAGAGGTCTACCTAGGGTTCCTTGCACCAGTCATGTGCTGCTGCTATCGTAGCAAAATCAAAAGTGTGGAGGTAGGAGATGTCGATGCAACACCTTGCCAAGGGCACAAGGGACCCTAGATATGCCTCTGGTTGCCTACAGTCACATCTGCACCATACATTTAGAGCACATGTCTTCCCCCAAAGAATGCTGGGAACTGTAGTTTCCTCCAGAGATCTATAATTCCCAGCACCGTAAACAAACTAGTTCCCATGAATCTTTGGGGGAAGCTATGATTGCTGAAGTGGTATACGAGTGTTTTAAATATAGATTGTGCAGAAGACATTGAAAAAGCCACAACTTGGACTCTTTATGACTTGGGCTTTTTTTGGCAGTTTGGGGAGGAACCATGTTACAGCAGCTCTTGAGCTGTGGATGTGATGTCAGAAGGAGCCAAAGTGTTTTTGAGGACTGGAAAACCTCTCTTTTTTATGTGTCTAGACTTGGAATTATTTCAGAAGCCTCAAGCAAAGGAGTGGGGCGGAATCCAAGAGTGTTATAAAACATTGATTTTGTAAATCCTTATACATCCAACACAATTCTAGTCTTTTCTATAGGGAATTGTCCAAACTATTTGACTGAGAGCTTTGCTATGGAAACGCTAATGCAAAATTTCCTGAAGAAGAGCTTACAACTCAAAATGCTTCGGATTTATAAAGCATTTCACGGTAAGTAAGTAACACTGGTCTTATTTCTTTTTCAGCCTGCTTTCTTTGAAGTTATTGACTGGGCAGCTCTTTTGCTCGGATGGTGGGTTCAGAAGCCTACTTCCCCCCTCCCATGCGGAAAAAGGTCCATGACGGCTGACTTCTGAGTAGACCTGTGTAAGATTGTGGCAATTAACCCCAGGAGAGTGCATGCAGGATTACATCATTATGCTTCCCTTCCTTAAATCCTTGGCATCATGGAAGTGATTCTCCATTTTAATGGGTGTAAAGGATAAATAATATACTCAGAATGAAGATAGGAAAATAACAGTGGAAGAGAATAAATGTGTAAACATAGGATTGCATTGCATATGAAGTACAATGTTATTTCTAAAACTTCCAACTGTTTCATGAGGATTCATAGCCCACTGGCACTCTCATGCTTCTGATATTTATGTTACTCAGTGTCCTGTTCAATGTTCTGGAACTAAGGTTCAATTGTTTCTGATGAAACCCAAATTTATACTGTCCCCAATGAAAAAGCGGCTTTTCAGAAATGAACTACCATTGCTCTTTCCAATGGAAGTCAAGCCACATTAATTACAAAAAAGGCGGAAATTATCTGAGGAACTGAAAACACCAGACACAGATAAATAGAAAAAATAACATCATTTTTATTTACAAAAAAATCCAAATATTGGATGCTGTAAACAAAATTCACAATCTGTTCCCGCTAGCACTGGAGCAAATGCTTTACTTGGTTAGAAGTGTCTGTTTCCCATCCACTTTTTGTTTCAGCCTCCAACAGAACCCAGAGTCAAAAAGTTCCTAAAGGAACAGTCCAAGGGGAGCGGTTTGATGCAGCAGAATGTCTCGCTGAAGACTAAAGTTGTGCGGAATGCCACAGGAGAACAAATTCAGCATCACTTGACTTCCCACAGACTGCAAGAGTTTGTGGTTCCACGTTCAACCAGTCCTGAAGTCTGCAGACCTTTCTGATGTTTAACTAGGTATAATCACGGCTTGCTAAGAAAGCAAACCCAAAAAAACAACAACACCTGTACATGGATTTTGGATTTTTGTCATCGCAGTGGAAATCAGAAAGCAATACACACACAAAAAAACCAAGAAAAACAAAAACAAAAAGTGCTTAATATGTCATTAGATAGATATATTTCTCTCCATCTCATTTTCATTTTTCTTTACACGTTTTTCTTTCCACAAACTATTTAAAGCTTTCTCAGAATGGATGAGTCTTCAATATAATACAACTCACATATAAAGCACTTACAACAGGCATTTATAAGCTGTGCATGAAACTTTGTGCAATACATAGCAGCAAACAAGTCTTAAAGCATTTAAATAAAAAGAGTTATGAAAATATGAATCCTGCTTCCATTTTATTCCCCCCTCCCCATTTTTTTCTTGTTTTGTTTTTGCATATTGTGGATTATATATACACAGTATGATTCCATTTATCTGAACTGAATGACCCAGGACTGAGAATGAAATGTTTGGATAAATGAATGTGATATTTACATAAGTATAAAAGTGATATGCAATCACCTGAGGTCCACATAGCAGACACGGACAACTGAAGTTTCACAATAACGAACGATAACAAACTGCGGATTCTACTAGTTCTTCAAAAAGAATCTGATGTCTTTGCCTTCCTCATCTCCCAATGACACATCAGAAGAGGTTTAGTTCCTCTTTGATTCACATTTAACCCAACAGTAACACAAACCATAGGACTGTAATTAAGACAACATCTTAAGCTAGTTGCTTAAAACCTAGTTTCTTTAAAATGCATTTGAAGCTTTTGCTGAATGAATAGAAGGACCAGATCCTAAGAGTAACAAACGTTTTCTTCTTATGAATGTGCTAGTTTAATAAAATTGGAGAAGGATCGGGGGGGGGGGGGGATGCTGGATGCTGTTTGGCCATATGAAGGACTAGGTCTGCAAATCACAGAAGCCAACACGTTCTGAAAATACGCTGTTATTTTAGTTTTGACCTAGAGTCAAAGCATCTTCTCATCACTATCACCAGACGGTTTAAAAACAACCTCCACTGCCAGCCAGATGCAACAAAGCCCTGTTAGTGGCTGAAGACTGCTGGCTCCTTAAAGCAGAGAGAGAAAAAGAGAGAGAGAGCTATTTCACCTAGTGAACAGAGCTTGTGGGGCATGTGATATGCAAGGCAACCATTTGCTGCTTGCCATGAGATGCATCTACCTGAAGGGGGAGGAGAAGAGAGACAGTGACCCTGTAATCCTCAGACTAACAATAGCCGTGTTTGGTTTTCTTAAAAGAGGGAAAAGGCTGCTCCAAAGGGGAAAAAATGTCTATACTGTATTATCAGCATTTTGTGGCTGAAGTACTGCCAGATACCCCAAACCCTTTTCAATAGTGGATGACTCATTTATTTGCAGCAAAATAGCTGTGGTAGGAAAGGACATACCACATTACCAGCTGATCCTCTTGCTCCAGCCTTCTTTCTGCTCAGCTTCCCTCAGAAATCCCCTCTGACTAGACTCTGATTTTGACAAAGCACATCTCCCTGCTGATTCGCTGGGCCAATGGAAAGAGGACATTTCATTTTCGTAACTGAGCACTGACTAGATGTGTATTTGTTATGAGGGTGAGGTTTGTGATTTTCTAAGCAGGCTGTGGGTAGTGAACAGACAAGCAAAAAGTGACGACTGGGGGACCGACTGCCAAGATGGAAATTAATTTTACATTTCCTGCAGAATTCACAAGGAAGAGACTTGAGTAAACAAGCTGGGGTCCTGTTAAACTGACCTTCAGACACAAAGGGATGGTTAAGAATAGAAAAGCTTCAGTAATGGATAATGGGGGAAGGGACAAATGTATTGCCAGTAGCTTTGTTAGGACAATGGGATGCTAAATTGCCTGGTTAGCAGTTTACTAATCCCTCCCCTTTAAATATTTTATGTTGCTTGAACATTTCCCTGTGCAGCGTGTATTTCTCTCCCTTTGATTCCGCAGTGGTGGGTGGCTTAGTTCAGTTTCCTCTCCCAAACTGTAACCTTGGCTTCCTTTCTTAGCATTAATAAAACAATGTGTAGGCCGCAATCCAACACAGATTTGGAGCACTGGAACCCAAAGATTTTTACGTTTCCGGACGTAAGAGCACTTAACGCTGTGTTTGATTGTGACTGAGGTGTTAAGTTAGATTTTGTTTGCTTTAATTTAAAAAAAAAAGTGGCTGGATGAAAAAAGAAGAAATGGTTAAATTCTTTTGTATAATCATCACTACAGTGGTGAGGGTATAAAAACCCTCCCAGTAAAATGATTTCCCAGCATTCCCCTAAGTCTCTTGAGAGAAAGGAAATTAAATTATTTGTCCCAATGCAAAAGATTAATCATTTTAAATAAGGTACAGTACTAAACTGGAAAACGCAGTGTGACAACCAAAGTTGTTTAATACTTGCATAAAAATGTGTGTGTGTAATATAAAATATAGACTTCCAAAATCCATGCAACAGTCTTCATAATGGTTCAATTTCACATTTACTAACTTTTAGTGGTCCTGGAATGCACAGTGCATTCTGCTTGCTCTTTTTAAATGTCAATAATTATTATTCAAATACAATATTCTTTAGCTGTCAAGGGAGCTATCCATTTGAGCCACATTCCGATGGTTATCTGTACATCAGAGAGGCATGCAATCATGGTACTAGTGAATTAACTGTCAAAACCATATTACAGTACAAAACAGGGGACAAAAGGATCAGTGGGTGAAATGTTTGAAACTAGTATGGCTCACAAGTAACCCAATGGATTTGTTTATGTTCTTGCAACCAAATGCATCCTTTGAATCCCATCTTGCTTATGAATAGTTTGTTTATTCAGATTTTCTGGTGCAGGATAACTCTCTGCAAAGTGCCCACAGCATTATGATATCCTGTTGCAGACTGGAAAACACACTGTATTTTATTTAAAACATTCCTTAAAATTGCTACATTTTCCCAAACCATATTGAAAATATGTGTGTATGCATGTATACATACATACACACGCGCGCACACACGCACACACACACAACAATATACACACATACACACATGTACCTATGATAACATCACGCCAACAATAGAAACTTTATATAAGTATTTGCCAGCGAAAAAAATAGGCATTTCCTCCACCATTTATTCACAAGCTTTTTTGTTTGTTTGTTTGTTTCTTGTGTCCCTGATAAAAACAAAATGCAAGTTTAAACCACAAAACTATATTTTTCTCACTTCAAATTTTCTAAAGGTATCAGGCACTTTTGTTTAACATTAGCATGTACAAATATAGTAATATCTTATCTTTCCTCTTTTTTTCTTTTTTTTAATAGTCTACTCTGCTTTCTACTTGCTTGGATAACTTAACTGAGAAATCTTTGGTCCTGAAGCATATGATGCTTGCTACAGCTGGTTTTCTGGCTTTTCCACATTTTTTTTTTTACAAAATGTGAAGCACACACACAGCTGGAAATAATGAAATTTGTCATAATCTCCCCCCCCCCCGTTTCTCTCTTTAAAAAAATAATAACTGTACCCACCTACAACTGCTTTTTTTTCTTTTTTCCCCATTTTGGAGCAAGCTGGTTCTCTTAAAGCTTTCTATTCAAGCAAGCTATACATTCTATGGGTTCATTCCACTGACAGCACTTAATACATGCCCCAAAGGCAGTAATTCTAAAATATCTCTTATTCCAACATATCTCTGTGTTATGAATCTAACTTAAAATTCCTGAACGCATATTTCCTTTCCCTTCCCCACTCGTATTTCCTCCCCTGTCTTTTGTTTTGTTTTGTTTTTTTGCAGATTCATTTAAAAAATAAAGGCTTCCCAACTTTCACTCTGCCATAGCTATGGGAGCAGGCGTCACCAACCCATATTGTCATCAAGCATTCCTCCTCCCTGGTTTCCTTCAAGGGGGCCTATTTGCTTTTCATGACAGGCCTCTGTGCTTTGGGGTAGAGAATCCAATGAGGTTTTTTGTCTTTCGGTTCTTTTTCTAAATCACTCTCTGTTTCATTAGACTGAAGAACCGACAGCCTCCCTCAAGCTGAAAAGCCAGAGCAGACCACCATCACACACAAAAAACACCCCATTGTTTGTTTTGAAAAAAAGGAGACGAGGGGGGAGTTCTGCCTTCCCCCCCTTTATTTGCTTGACAGAAAACAAACTCTCCACCAAGCCTATTAAATCTGCTAATTACAGGGCAACCAAGTCGAGTACGTGTGCTGCTGACACGGGAACATTGGCTGAACCTGGGCAATATAATAATTGCTAAAGTTAGCATCTGCTACATACGGAGCTGGCTGGTAGTAGCACGTGACGTTGGCCACATTGGGGATGATATTCTGGTCAGCTAGCACACGGATGGCCAGCATGGTGATAAGGTTGAGAGTCTGTCTCCTCTCATGTCCCATCAGGCACACGGTGCTCTCATTCACCACACTGTGAAGGGTCATGAGATAGTCATACTTGCGGTCCTCCAAGCCCACAAAGTGGTTCTGCAAGTACGACTCCAACTTCCGCTGCTGCTCCCCAATGTCCGAGAAGTCAATGAAAAACCTGGAGCACATGTATCTCTGGAGAGACTTGATCTCGGATTCCGAGGCTGCCCTGAAGCCCCTTACGAGGAGGTTGCAGTACTTCAGGAGACCACCTCCCCTGATCTCTTCTGGGTTTCTGGTAGCAATGACCTTGTTGCAAAGGTGATCAAAAGCTTCTTGGAAATCCCCATAGACACTCTCCCCGATTATAGTTGGGTGAAAAGTTTCAGTCATCGGGTTCTCTGAGCATTCGTAAAAAAGGAGGAGAGAGTCTAGCTTGATCTGAAAGGAATCTACGCTGAACTCAAACTGCCTTCTCAGGGAGTCCACAAATTTCAGCTCCACGTTTTTCCCACTGTTGTTGGACAAGGAGATGAGACTCCACCGATCTGAATCATTGCACACTTTCACCATTTTCTGCACATAGGCTTCCTACAATTTGAAACACACGGGGTTGGGGGGAGAGAGAGAGGAGGGAGGAGCAGATCAGAAAACCAATAAAAGCACCTCCTCTTTAGAGTCTGCATTTGCATTTGATCCCAGCTCCACCCTGCCCTAGCTTGCAGCAGAGCAAATTTACAGAGCCCAGGCGTAAGAAAGAGACACTGTGGACAGATTTAGCATGCGGTTTTGCAGACCTGCAGTTGCATAGGACCAAAGGGCGAGGGAGTGCTTGTAGCATGGTCCTGCACAAAGGACATATTCTGTAGGATTTTATTAAGGCTTTTCCTCCAAAGAGATTGAATTGATGCACGCTAAACAAACATGCACACACAGAGATATAGTGAAGGGGACAGGACTCTTTCAGACGGTTAAAATGTAGCATACATGCAAAGGAGAATAATAATCAGATTGTATCTTATAAAATCCCTAGTAGCTTTCCCTTAAAAATAAACTTGCACCAATATTCTGGGAACTTTCAACATTATCTCAACCTTCATAATCTCTTGCCCACCCCCAAAACAAGGCAAGACAAAACCAGAGCAGGTATAGAGAGGGAAATCAACCCTTTCTTCCCCTGCTGTGATCTAGAATAACATTTGTGGGGCCACCAAGGCAGGGCCTTGGGGAGGATGTCAACACAATGAGCAGGGCAGCCCCCAAACTTAGCAGGGCTGGCTCATTCCACACTGCCATCTGAAGAAGGGGAACGGGATTAGGGTCCTTTAAACCATCTAAAACGCCCTTACTGCACCATCGGTTAAAACAGTTACTTGATTCAAGGCAATCCAGTTTCCCCGTAGCTAATTAAGCCACTTAATCAGCATTGCAAAGGTGTTTAAGAACAAAGCAGTGAAGCGAAGCACATTTTTTTGGAAGAAAGAGCTGGGCTCTTCACATACTTAAGACAGGCTGCAGAGCAGCATTATTAGAGTATTTTGACAGCAAATCCAGCCTTTGCATTCCAGCCTATGCAGGGCAAGGAGACAGAGGAGCACCGTGCCCATCTAGCGGTCCTAGCTACAAACCAATTAAAAGAAAGTAACTGTATTTAAAACGGCTTAGCCTGATGAGAAATTAATGGAGCTACGTTAGCATAAATCCAAGTACTTCGGTTTGGCTCAGGGTGCATTTACATAGAAAATAAGAATTCATTGATAACTGCCTATAAATATTGTACATACACATGTACACACATACAGAGACTTAGGAATCACTCTAAGGAACCATGCCAAGTTAGTATTTCAAAAAGCTTTAAGGGGAGGACCTATACATGAATAATCCTGGGGTTGTTGATTTTTTAGCAATGGAGTGTGTGTATTCTGCCCCCTTAAAAAATTACTTTTTAAAAATATTTTTATTCAGCTGCACTGCAATCTAAAATAAGGGCTAGCTTGTCCTAGAAGCTGCGCCTTCTCCATTCTGTCCGCCTGCGCTGCTCTGTGCCGGCCCATTTTGGAGAGGCAGAAGCGAAGCGAGAAAAGAGGTTCTCCCAGCCGGCCGGGGACTGCGAGCGCCTTCCATTTACCTTGAGGGTGAGCGGGGTGATCTTCTCCTTGTTAACTCCTTCCGGCAAGAAATCCAACAGGCAGTCCAAGACGACGTCTTTCACCGTCTGGAACTCGGCTTCTCCCTTCAGGTCGGCGCAGAAGATGAGGTCCAAGTCCTTGTAGCCCAGGCCGCTGTCCTGGTGCAGGACGTGGCTGGCCGCCGAGCCGTTGAGGCGCACATCGCGCACGCCGATGCGCTGCTCCTCCAGGCGGCTGCGCACCACCTTCACGATCTGGCGCGGCTGCATCTCCAGCGTGGGGAAGTTGCCCCGGCCGTGGATCGGGATGGTCTCGCTCAGGATGCGGTCCAGGCGCTGCACTTGCTCCCAGCTGAGCACGTTGCAGCGGCTGCTCTCGCTACAACCCAGGCACGGCTCGGCAATAGCCTGCCGAGGGCAGTCGCCGTCGGCGCCGTCGGAGCTGCTGCTAGTGCTGCTACTGAGAATATTTTCCTCATCTGCCATGGTCCAGCGCCGTTTGCAAGTTGGAGCGGATCAAATAGATGGAGAGAAAGAGAGGCCTCCTTTGCTGGAGTTTCTTCTTCTTCCACTCCTAGCGGGACGGGGGAGGGGGTTAAAAAAAAGGCAAGCAAAAAATCAGGAATTTATAGCTTATGACGAAGACTGCGATCCTCACAGGGGCGAAAGTAAGCTTTATTTCACCCAGTTTGGCACACACACCCCGCGCGCGTATTTACGCACACATACGCTGGGAGTCTCAGTGGCGCCCCTCTAGAGGCTTCACCCGAGGCAAAAAAACCCGGCTAGTCCCCCCCCCCCCCCGTAGCTATGGCCCTGGATCTTCAAGCCCCTTCCTCTTGACAGGTCTGAAGTGGTCGGAGGATCTCAGCAGCTCTCCGGCGCTCCCTGCTCCCCCTTCCCTTCCCGGAAAGCGGCTTTGGCTGAGCTAAGCGGCGCTTTCAAGTGAAGCCACGACTCCCGGAGTGGACTCAGCGTTTCGGAGGAACAGGATGCAGTTTTAAGTGTGTTTTCACCGTCCCGCTCCTGATCTATCCGCCAGTATACACACCTGGGGGCTTGCTCCTGATCACCTGCCGTGTGGCGCGCGCGCGTGTGATCGAGCTGCCCTTCTGACGGATAGCAGCGAAGGATGGCGAGGGCAGGCAACCTGCACCCCTTGCGCCACTGGAGGAGCCGCCTGGCGCAAAGCTTTCCTCCGGAATCCTGCCCGGTTCTTCCGCCCAGCTAGCAGGGATCACGCTTTCCCCGGAGCTGCTCCCGCTCGCCCTGCGCAGCCTTAGGTCGCCTCTAGAGCTTTTGCTGGTTCTGCTTGGGAATGTCCTCTGTAGTTTTTTATATGGGCTTTCTCGCTCTTCCGGGGATCCGAGCCACCCTCCGCTTGCCCACGCCCCTCTCATCTGCATAGGGACACTTCTACTCCTTCCCTCCCTAACCCCCACCTTCGCCCAGGCCTTTCCAGACACGCCCCTTCATATTTGCATAAACAGCTGGTCCCTATGCTTTCCCCAGCCGCTTTTCTAGAGCCGCTTCCTCCTCCCCCGTGCCAAACAAATCCTCTCCTTTCTGGAAAGGGAAGAAAGGTGAAAGTTGGAAGGATCTGGATCCTGCTGGAACATCCTGGAGGGAGCTGGCAAAAAAAAAAAGTGGCACACTGAGGGTTTGGCGGGGGCGGCTCTGTCGGCGAAAGGGCTGCAATTTTTATTTTTTTAAAAATCAAGTCAACTAGGGACCCGCGGGCGTTCGATCAGGAACAGGGGGTGGGAGTTATGTCAGCCTGCATGTGGAACATTCTCTGGCTCTCCCTGCTGAGTCTGTGCTTTGCGATTGTGTCGAGCTGAAACGGGAGGGAGGCCGAGAGGGAGGGGAAGGTTACATTTTCACCCAGGGATGGAATCCATTGCCGAGCCGGGGACGTTTCGCACTAATAAATAGCCAGCCTGGGGTCTCTGAGAAAGGGTGGTTCCTTTTTCAAAAAAACCATTTTGAAAACAGCTCTGTGGGTTTCTAGAGATCCTGGTATCTGGCTTTGTTTTAACTGCGTTCAGTTGTCAAAGCACTTGCTCTACAGAGGGCACCCCCACCCCTCCGCCGCCGCCGCGTTTTCTCTCTATTGAATTGTCAGGAGAGCAGTCCAGAAAGGAGTAGGAGGCGACACTGCGTGGCTGCGCTGTGCACCTTAAGCGGCAAGATTCCCGTGGATGTTCATGGAACAAAAGAAACTGCCAAAAGGGGGGGGGGGGGAATCACAGGCATCTGAACACGGCGTACTCAGTATTTTACAGCGCCCGGGGGACCTGAGAAGGATCCAGCTGCACCAGGCTAGTGAAGCAGCGATGCCTTCTGGTTTTTGAAGCTATTTGTAAACCACGGGACAAAGTGGGAAACAGCTTCCCAGGCGGCGTTTAAAGAAAGCCGGAGTGACGGGGGACACCCCGGCCCAGACATTATTCCCCCGCCCGGAATAAAAGGTAGAATGCAGGTGCGCCTGGCAATCAGAACCCCCGTTCCAAGTACTGTCCTTAAAAATACCCCGGTGGAGCGGGGGGGGGCTTTTAAGATTGGGGAGGTCAAGACGTTTTCGGACTGGATTCTGGATATACCCGAAGCAATAATCCTGGGCAAAGAAAGCCGTGATTTGCAGCTGAAAATAATAAAATGCCTGCAGGAACTGGCTAGGAAGAAATCCAGAGTTCACCACCACCTGTTGCTGCGAAGGACAGGAGTAAGTGCAAAATAGCGGTGCCAGCTTTTTATTAGACCACCTTCCACTTGGCCACCTCCGTAGCGCTGTGCAGCTAGCACGTCATTTCACAGGAAGAAGTTGGCCTAATCCAAAATGTTGTCACCTACTCCCCTCTTGTTTTTATTCTCTGAAAGTAGCTCCCTAGTGCGCCGTGGATTTAACAGCCCAATGGCAGAACCATCGCCTTCCGCTCCAGCTATGAGATGGAACTGCGCACCAGCAGCGCGCGGGGGAAGGAGCAGATTCTCCTTCCTGTGGATTCTACAGCACACACAGCAAAAAAACACACGATATAATGCAAAGGTTGTCTGCTTGGAGAACCAGTCCCTTTTATTGCTGCTAGACTTTCTTTTTTCTACTGGAAAAACCTAAAAGGTCGTTAAACGAGAGTTAGATTTCCTTAGCTACGCAGCTGTGAATGTCCCTGGAAAAAAAGTTTGCGTTTGATCATGCATGCACAATGGGTAATGGGGAATAGATATATAAATATATATAAACTCACTTTTATATATATATAAACTCACTCTTCTCTTTCTCTCTCTCCCAGCGGTTTAATTCTTCAGTGCGTGACCACAGAATAATCTGACATCTGAGCAATCTAGGGGTAAAGCGCGATTTCCCAGAGACTCCACCTGCGCAGATTCGATTCCTCTTTATATATTTGGTGCGTAGGACTTTAGAGGCATGACAGAGCAGGATTGGTGGCCGAGGACTCGTGCATGGTCGAAGAGGTGGCTGTCACGTTTCTCGCAGGAATATGAAGGCTAAAGAGAGGCGCGGGGGGGGGGGGTGAGCGAAAACAGCAGCGGCGGCAGCAGCAGCTGGAGGAGCAATAATAGGAATGGAGCAGATAGAACGTCACAGGTACTGACGTTCCAGCAACAGCTGCAGGGCTATTCCGAAAGCCTGTGATGTGAGAAGAGCCTGGCCAATCAGCGCCGGTTTGGCCGTGACGCTTTATTTTCCTCCTCCAGGCCCCTGGGGTGAAGAGCCAATCGGAGAAGGGCTCGAGAAGCAGCGTAAGCGTGCCAGCTCCGAGTGAATGAGCCGTGGGAGGGAAGGAGGGAGGGGGAGAGTAAACACGCCCACGCACAGAAGAGCTGCCTATTCACAGGCGCTTGCGAGAAGATCCTGCGTCTTAGGAGCCTCGTTGTGCTGCGGGGCGAGAAGAAAAAGAAGGCCTTTCCCTTCTTTTCCCCCCATTCCCAATTAGTAGCGGTTGGCGGGAGGAAGCGCTGCCTTTGGGGCTAGGTTGTAGTAGGCAACGCAAGCTCGGGCTGCTACCCCGGGAAGGTTTCTCTGTAAAAGCCGTGGGGTTGCAGAGAGAGATGGGCAACATCAGTCTTTAATAGGAGGCCTTGACTGCGAGGCAGCTGCAGGCTTTCGCTGTGAAAGTTCGCCTGCGTTTGTCGTGGACTACAAACTGCTGTGGCAACACAGTTTAATGACTTGATGCTGCCTGGACCACACGCCCGAAACCAGGGCTAGCCCAATGTGATGATGCGTCCCCCCATCCTGATGATGATGGCCAGTGGTCAGGAATGGTGGCCAACAGTGTCGGGGGATGGCAGCATATTGGCTACCTTTGCCCTGCTGGATATGTGAAGAGTTTGTGGTTGCGTAGGGATGGCATTATTCCTAACATTAGTCGCACGCGATCTGGGACTGAGCATAAAACATAGTTTAATAACTGCAGTCAAGGGGTTGTTGGCCTGTGGAAGGAAGAGCAGTGAAGCAGGGGACACTCTATATATGAGAGCAAATGTGGTCAGACTTTAGCAGACCAGGGTTCAAATCCCCATTGGGCCCCGAAGTTCACTGGCTGACTTTGGGTCAGCCCTGCCTTTCAACACAACAGGATTGTTGGGGGGGGGAGGCGATTAAATAAGGAGGGGGGAAACCACGTGTGCCACTTTGAGCTCCTTGGAGAAAAAGGCGGGGATATCAATGCAATCTTGTTATTTTTACAAAATTAAAGGAAGCCTCTGAATTTTCAGTTTGCATTCAGTCATTTGTTACTCTTTCCCTCTTCTCAATGGAAAGAAAAACGCGCAAGCACTGTCCCAACTGCGGGCCTTTAACGCGGAGAAAGCAGACCCTTTCCCACGCGCGTTTCTTCTCATTTTGAATCTTTCACCCCCTCAGCTCCCTCCTCCTACCCAAGAGGAAAGAGAGGAGTGCCTCAAGACGGCGCGCGGAGGCTACCTTCAAACCTTCCCTCCCATCCGGACGTGGCTGTCATGGGGAAGCACAGCATCTCTCCGCCAACCTAGCCAGCGTTTCTCGCGCTCCTCTGGAGTGGGGAGATGAGAGGCTTCTCTTTAAATGGCATGGGACGTGCTTCGAAGGACCCCATCTCTTAAATGGCACCCCTGGAGAAAAACAAAACAAAAACAAGAGGAGGCCTAAGAGCATGGGAGCAGCCAGGGGGTGCGGGAGGGCAGCTGTCCCCCTAAACCAAATAAATAAATAAAAATACTTAACTAACTGACCAACTGTGTCACAGATAACTCGCTTCTGCCCCCTAACATAAAGCATGCCTCCCCTAAAATAAATCCTGGCTACGCTGATGCGAGAGAGAGAGGTGGAGGAGGGGCTTTGGGGGGAAAGTAGGAACTTCCAACAAGAGATAAGTTGGTCGTGTGAATAGGATAGAGCTAATAATAGTAGTACTGTAGTAGCAATAATAAAATCCAGACTTTGATTGCACTTTAAAAAGACACTGAGGTTTTCCTTGAAGGTGGGGGTAGCACTCGCTGCTTTTTAGGAACTGCCAACCCCTCTCCCCACCCCCTTTCTCCGCTGAGCAGCCGAGGGGGAGGCGGCGCTTTCTCTCTCGCGCAGCTCCCGCCCCTTCGGAGGGGGCTCAGGCGAGCGCGTCCTGCGACTTTCTCCCGGAGGAGGCTTGTGGCCGAGGGCGCGCGTTGCGTGGCAATGACGTCCCCTGCCGGCAAAGGAGCAAGGTGCATCCCCTTCCTCGGGCGGAGGGGGTCCCTGTGTCCCGACTGCCTCGTCCCGGGCTGGGTTATCCTTTTCCTCGAGCGGTGTGGAGAGAGAAGGGCCAGAGGGCCGCTACCACAGTTAAATAATTCTGGTAAGGAGCCTGCCAGCCTGTGTGGCTCATTTCTGAAGTAGCTTCAGCAGCAAGGAAAGATCGGGGAGGAAAGGAAAATTGGAGTGCGGAGAGGAATGTAGGATAATAAATAAAATAAAATAAAATATAAAATAACAAAACAAAACAAAACAAAACAAGGATCATTTGAAACGTTTTTCAGGAGGACGTTTTTGTAGCAGTGGTAGATCATGGACGGATCCCCTGTTGGGGTTGTTGTGGAGGAATTACTGTTTACCAGCGTTCAAATAGCATTAACTCAGCAGGTAAATTTAGGAAGAACTTGACTCTCTCTACAGTAATCCTCATGGCTTACTTAGAGACTCTCCCCACCAAAAAAACCTGTTCTCAAATCACAGCTTATTTGTCTACCACAGACTACACTACTACGTAAAGGTAAAGGTAAAGGACACCTGGATGGTTAAGCCCAGTCAAAGGTGATTATGGGGTTATGGCACTTATCTTGCTTCAGGCCAAGGGAGCCGGCGTTTGTCCACAGACAGCTTTCCGAGTCATGTGGCCAGCATGACTAAACCGCTTCTGGCGCAATGGAACACCATGACAGAAACCAGAGTGCACGGAAACACTGTTTGCCTTCCTACCACAGTGGTACTTACTTATCTACCTGCACTGGTGTGCTTTTGAACTGCTAGGTTGGCAGAAACTGGGACAGAGCAATGGGACATAGTCAGTGCTATATATACTGTCATCATGGTGCAAACCCAGGAATCTTCTCTTTTACCTGGTTTCTTAGATGGACCCCACCAGATGATCTACCATGAGTTACATTATACCATAGTCACATCTCACTTTCTTTTCCATTGCATCATAAACATCTAATATCCAGAGTTCTATGGTACAACAGCCACCATCTCATGACCCTTCATATCCTTGTTGATAGACAGAACCATGAAAATTGTGGATGTAGAACTTTGCATATTTCCAAAATATTTATGACTAAACATGCATAGCTTTTGCAGCACTTTGGCTAAGTTTGAAATGAATTAATTAAAACATAAATGTTTATAAGCAGAGCAGAGCAAGTCTGCAAATGAGTGTTAAAAGCCTAAGCAGTTACTTTGCTATTGGTAAAATGTGCAGAAAGATTGCACTCTGGAGCTTAAGGTAAAGTTTGCGATATATTGGTTGTCAAGCTGAACAACTTTCAACTTTTATGTCCACAGTGGACCAAATATTGTTAAACATTCATAGGAATAGGATTGTGCCCTGCAGCTTAAAATAAGCTCTGCAAACCCTTATGGTTGCAAAGAGACTTGTCCTTCAAGGCTGGATGGATTAACTCTCACCATCTACTATTCAGTGGCCTGAAGTTCTTAGACCTTTTCTGAATTTGAACACCTATTTGGGTCTAAGGACAACTTAAAATATATTTATGAGTGCTGGATTATTTATTATTATTCATGTAGGATAGCAAAGTTTCTTTTTGTTGTATTTGCAAAAAAGCTAATATTTTTTAAATCATAAGTAATGTGGATATGAGAAGTTGGATATTGGAATTAAGAATTGTGATATAGATTATGATTTACAACAAACTGCTGCAGTGGGGAATACCCATTTACTGTTCCAGCTAGGCAGTTAGCCACACCCTTCTTTAAGATACCCCATTCCATTCCCCCTCCTCCTCGTTTTGCTTTGTCACCCCACCCAGCAGTCAGTATTCCATTGCTATTGAGCATGCCCTGTCCTCAGAGCTGGATTTAGAGCATTGCGAGCAATTCCCTGCACAGGGTGCTGAGCTGAAAAGGCACAAAACTGAGAAGGTGCATAATTGAGAAGATCCATTTGGAGGGGCCAAATTTTGACCTTGCACAGGGCACCATATTATGAAAGATTACCAAAGTCTGCCCCTGCTGTCCTAGTCAGATTGTTTTGGGGTTCCCCTGCCTTAAGAGTTTTTATGCACAAGATTTCTGTACCTCTACAAAATTTGGGATTCCGCCAAGACTACTCATACCTCCTTCTTGTTCATGTGTGTTGTCACTTTGACTACATTAGCAGAGGCATTCATGCTTGAACATCAGAAAGGGAGGGAATGGTGCTTTTAAATTCTAACTAAACATAGGTAGTAAAGGTAAAGGACCCCTGGACAGTTAAGCCCAGTCTAATTTGACTACGGAGTGCGGGCTCATCTCCATTTTCAATCGGAGGGAGCCAGCGTTTGCCTGCAGACAGCTTTTCCAGGTCATGACTAAACCACTTCTGGTGCAACACGACATCATGACGGAAGCCAGAGCACATGGAAGCACTGTTTACCTTCCCGCCCCAGTGGTACCTATTTATCTACTTGTACTGGTATGCTTTCAAACTGCTCGGTTAGCAGTTACTAAGCATAACTCTAGCACATTGGGGAAACACTCTGCAGAAGAAGAGATTGAGGCTGAAAGACAACGGGAAAGGGTGGTTCATGGAGACTAAGTTGGAAGTGAGCAGAATATGTGAGACTCCACATGTTTACTACATAAACCACCTAGCTGCCTTAACTTACCATTTTCATGTTTTCTGGTCTGTGAATAAATTTGTGAACACCTCATTTCTTCTCTTAGACCCAATCTATATCTAATGGTAAGCATATGGTGTAATATTTTGTGTTCATTTTTAAAAGCAGCTGCTGGAGGCCCATTTAGGATCAGGACCAAGGGATGTAGAGTTCAGCCCTTTCTCCTCATCCCGCAGTGTCCACAAAAATCGTTCCTTCTAACCTGCTGTTTGGTTTGGGAGAGAAGCTCTCACTGGTGCCAATGAAATGCAAATAGAAGCTCCTGAGGGGTCGCATTTGTT